ACAAACATCTCATCACCTCAAAGTACTAGCACAGTCAACCCAACTTAGCCTTTCTATTCATTCTGTTTAAGCAGGATTTATGAGGCGCACAGGGAGGAGTAGCCCTTCTGCATGTGGGTGTGAGAGTGTGTTATCCCAGAGGATCCCAGAGGTTTGCAGATAACACACACTGAAGGGTGGATAAGAATAGGAGGTCTATGTGCAAATAAATTGGACTGAGACCATTGGTGGAACACAGGTACAAACCCTATCAAACACATCCTGCTTTTTCTCTGTCTCTGTATTCAGTAAGGTCAATCTATACCATGCATACAAATAAAGGAATAGATTATTTCTCAAAGTACAAAAAGCACAATGAGAGATTCAAAGGGCATGTTTATTAGGAATACAATTAAAAAGAACACACACGCACAAACATCCACACTGACAGACCAGTTGTCATAGTCCTCATAAGTATTATTTTTTCCTTTCTACAGAGTCCTGGACAATAAGCAGGCACTGCTCATCCCACTACTGATGCAGGGTGTAATAAAGAGTATTTTGTAGAATATTCAGCTAGAAGATACCAATTCAAAACCAGCTTTTTCCAACATGCAATATATGAGAACTTTAGAATGCTTGCCGGTAATTCACAGTGTCTCCTCTGTTACTCCACACACACACACAAACCTATAAACAAGGATATTTAAGCTCTATGTTCCAAGTCATTAGTGGTGTGAACAGGCCACTGTTTAAGATTTATGCTTGTTGGAGAGAAACAAACAGGATATGGTGCATTTTCTGCTTCACTGACTCATAAACAACTCCTAATCCATCATATGGAAGCAGTTACAGAGAGACTGAGGGGGCCAGAATGTGCACACACATGTGCATGTGTGTGTGTGTGAAACTCTAGAGTCCAGGTTTTGGTTCCGCATCAATGCATAGTAAAACTTTGATATTCCCTGTTCTTCAGCAGTTGAACTGAATACAACTTAGAATATATAAATCTAAAAATACTTCATAAAGTTTTCCTGAAGTGGTTTCACGCAGTTACCATTTCAGAGACCACATAATTGTAGATCTCTCAGTTAATTTAGGTGGAAATTGTTGAGAACAGGAAAGGAAAATAAAATGCTTAGTAGTTAGTATTTTATAGTTATAATTAACTATATATTATCCTTATAAAATGTGATTAGCACAATGAAAATAGCTGAATGATGAAAATTATTTTCATGATGTCTATGCACTTGGTCTGTGTGTCCCTGTGGATGACTGTATGTATGACAATAGTGACATTGTTGATTTTCAGGTGGGAGGGTGGCCTGCAAAACCATCACGTTCAGCCCTCAAATGATTATCACCTACTAAACATAAAGCACTTACCATGTTTCATGCTGCATTTTGTGTAAGATTTTGAAAAAAACCTTTTGACAGATGCTGCACTGTTTTGTGTCAACTTATATTTTCCACTTATTTTTCTTGTGAAAACATTCCTGCAACACAACGGCAAACCCTGTTGCTTCTCATCCTAACCTAACGCTTCACAAATGGTGAGTTACAGCTAAGCTTAACAGTGTGGAATCTTTGGAGTATCTTCTGTCACAGGAAGCTCAAACTCAGTTATTCTGCAGAATCAAACCCCAACTTTTCCCTCCCATCTCATTCCCTTTATCGCTGAACATGTTTTTTAATAAATCTAAGAAACATTACTGTCGTAGTTTTGTGTAAAGCAAAATGACATGTTCCAAATTTAGAGGATTCAACATGTTGTCTTTTGTGCCCTGAACAAATGCTACTATACAAGTTTAAAAAGTTCCCTTTTCAAACTGTGTCAAGTCATTTTAGGAGGAACTTCTAGAAAAGTAGGGAAAACAATTAATTTCAAACTGGGCCTTGAGCAGTTTTCTTTCTTTTTAAAAAAAACCTAGTATGAGGTTTTTTTTCTTGAAATAGATGCCTTATGTGATACTTCACACGTTTATATGAAAGTTTTATGAGGAATGAATTCAACCCTCTTCTTCGGATACATGCACTACAGTATGTTGTAAGCAAACTTTGATTATTTGGTCAACTATAAACCACTTCAATTAATCCGTGTTGGTCAGATGTAGCTCAGTGTGTCAGAATATGTCACATATTATGTTCCATAAAGTCACATTGCACACATACATTCTGTAACAACTAAAATTGGGAAATGCATCCAAAAAAGATTTCAATTATGGCTTATCTGCAACAATTCCATGGATGTAACTTTAATTTTAAAAAAAAGGAAGTGGCACATTGTTTCGGTTCACATTTTGTGCAGCTTGAGCGTAAAACAGCGATGTGTCACAGTAGAAATGAAAGTGTGTGTGGGTGTGTATTAAAATGAGCCAGAAATCCTTGGCTCATTAGCAGCAATTACATGATTGCTTGAGCCGATGCAGTTAGACTTTGTAAACCCATTAGCTCCACTGTTTGTACAAGAGTATCACAGTCAAAGTCCACTCCACTCCAGCTCGAGGTTTTTCATAGGTGTGCAGTGCCTGTCTAATTTCACATTAAAGGCAATTGTAACGGCTCAAAGATGTGAGTTTGTTTTGATGAGGCTTATTAACCTTAGCTAAATCAAGCAAAAAAAAAAGTAATATTTTAAGAACGATGTCCATGTTATAGCAAGAGCTTGTGCTTGTGTTATTCAAAATACTTCAAATGGAGCATTAAGTTAGATATTACTAATATTCATTTTTCCTTACTTATTCCATCTTTTGTTAGCTGTTATCACAGCATTGTTAACTCATCTTGCAGCAACAGTTTGTGAAGATATCCAGACATCCTTTCCATCAGGCCCAAATGTACGTAGATGGAAATGTGCCTCTGGACAGAGGCACATTTCCATGTGGTGACACTGCAAACATATTACAGGATGTATTAGTCTGACTGTGTAAGCAAGCACATACTGATAACTCCAAGACCAGCAAAATCACAGTGCACACACTCGTATCCAGTTCTCTTCAAACACTTCCCATTGACAAATGACACCATTACACCACTTCCTCATTGCAATTGAAGGGATATGTCTGGACAATTTCTCAGAGGGGAAGAGGATTACCAACGTTAATATCATGGTTACTTATGTTGCAGGTGATCTGTTCGTGATGATGCACAGCAAAGACATACAATTCTATCAATATCACAATGAAGTGATGTTTTATTTTGCCTTTGATATACTAATAAGTCATCAAACATGGGCCTTTGGAATATTCCCAACAAATATTAGATGAGGAAATAAAGCGAAAACTGTTTTTGCTGATTATACTCCACTTGTCGTGCACTGTGCTGTGTAACTCCTATGTAAGACATCCACCATGCTATGTCACAACTGAAACAAGTATTGACAGAAATAAGAGCTTTTTTTTAACGTTTCTGATACATTTGTATGCCAATCAAACTGTAGCCCTTTATCTGACAGTTGTTTTTTTCCTCTTTCACTTTATCAGATTTTATCCAGCTGTGCTATTCTTCTCGTTGAAGAACAGCACAGAACTGGGTAAGAAGTGCAGCAATTCATTTGAACTATTAATGCAACAGAAAGAAATCATAGACTTGAATTGCCTCGGACAACAGCAGCTGCTTCTTTTTAATTCTCTCGACAAATATAGGACAACAGGTGTAGACTGCTTACTTGCCTTGTAGTCTACATCATAAAAGGCAGAGGAAGATGCCGGGCAAGGTTTTACTAAAGGAAAAAAAAATTGTTAATACGAGAAAAAAATTGTACTCTTTGTTGGAGTGTGACTTGGATTATAAATTGCTTAAACTGGACTTTATTTTTGTAGGCCAAAAGTATCAACAGATTACATTTGTTGATACTTAGCCAATTGATTATTCAATTTGTGGACTGAATAAGGTTAATTTGAATTAACTGAGTTTAGTAAATGCCTGTTCTTGTTGACTACAGTCAAGGGGCATAGAAAAGAGTTAATCCTGCTATGGCTGCAGCTGTAGTGGACCATTATGACGTGAAGTATTGTGACGCTGAACTGACAAAATGCATTGCTCTGCTGTCATGACAAAGGACATAGGGCAATACACAGTACTCACTATAGTCATTGGTTTATTTATTCAGTTGCGAGCCTCTATTCTTTGAAAGGTTGTTGAAAAATGATCTGTTTCAAGGGGAATTTCACTCTGTTGCTAACAGTAGTTGTTCCGGCTACTTAGTTTTGATGATATGCCTGAAGTATATCCGACAAATGCCTAATTATATCTAAAATATATTAGTTACATGTCTAAGGTGTGCAGTGAAAACGAATCTTTTGTTTTTGTCTTGTCATATCGTCTTGATGTGTGCCTTTTGTGTGATATTCCATTGAAAAATCGGATTTTGAGGCCATGTGGCACCACCATTACATCCATTTTTGGTGTCCTGTCATTACAGTGTTCTCCTAAAACGCATTACGGGATTACTATAGTCAATTCTCATAATGAGCTGCTCCATCTTCCAGAACAAGTCAGGAAATCTTCGTGTAAACATGGCACGCATCCACGGCGGCCTGAGTCACATCCACGGCGGGCTGCCGCCTGCAGACTGAGCCGAGCAAAAAAAAAACGTGATGGAGTAATCACCGGAGCGGCACAAAAAAGGGATAATGTCTAGTGGGAGGGGAGAGAAGGCGAGTGAGGCTGAGAGAGAGTCCGCGTGGAGGAGCCGAGGCCGTGGCCTAAATGTGTGAAACGCCAGGGGTTGGTTTTTTTTTGGTTCACTGGTCGACTACCAGAGTCGACTCAATAGTCAACCCTCAATGTAGCAGAGACGATCTGACCCACAAAACTTCATAGAAAAGTTTGCTAGGCCCAAACTCTTCCAAGTCCATAAAAAAAAAAAAGATGAACAATTGAGTCCCCGACCAGTGAGTGGACGCATCTCATGCGTAATGGAGTTTATTGTTGGGATATGTATTTCCTGATAAATTAAACCTATTCTTTTTTTTTTTTTTCTCCGGACGGACAGGGCTGCGTTCCGCCTGAGTGATAAGATGGCCCTGGAGGCAGAAGGCGACAGGGGTTCATCCAGAGGGGCTCATGAGGGATGTCCCCGGGCAGCGCTGGAGCGCAGCGGCTACGTGAGGACGTGTGTCAGCCCGGTGGGTCGGGACGGGGAGAGCCAGTCGTGGCTGAGGCTGGCCGTGACACGGACTTGCCGAAGAGTGCCGTCTGCTGTCTGCGTTGCCTCCGTCTCCGTTATTCTCGCTCTGCTGCTCAGATTGGTGGACTGGGATGCAGGCAGCAGCAGCAGCAGCGGTAGGAGCGGAAATAGCGGCTCTCGCCTTCATTTAGCGGCGGACTGCGCTGCGGAGCTGCTCCTGACTGCGTGCCATTGCGTCTCCCCCGTTTTCACGCTCGCATGTGCCTTCTTCTGGGTCTGGCTGTGTCTGATTCGCTGCGGGGTTCTGGTGCGGAGCGCCGTGTTTTTGTTAGCGCTGTGCCACTTGGGCGAAGCCGCGGCGCAGTCCCTCCTGCGCGGCGCCGAGGAGCAGCTGCTGTCCCTCACCGCCACCCTGGTCGTCCTCGGCTGCCTGGGCAGCGGGGCTCTCCTGGTCGTCCGGCTGGGACAGGGAGTGTCCATCCTGGTCTCCGTGAGCGTCATCAGGGCCGCGTCTCTCGTCTCTCTGGGCAGAGTCCGGGCCGGTTGGAGACCCTACCTGGCCTACCTGCTGGGGCTGCTGGGGGTTTTGCTTGCGAGGTATGCTGACCGGCTCCTGCCGGCCTCGGGGACCGGCGGGACGGGGTGCTGTGGCTCTGTGACCGGGGCGAAGGAGGAGGACATCCCTGTCTTCAAAAGGAGACGGAGGTCCAGCTCCGTGGCGGCCTCGGAAATGATGGCTCAGGCGCAGAGCAACAGCAAGTCCCACCGCAGGACTTCGCTGCCGTGCATTCCGCGGGACCAGGTAAGACGCGTCCAACTTTGGGGGGGGGGGGGGG